TGGTTTTAACTTTAAGTGGTTCAGTAAGACAGACACGTTTTAACACTTATAATAATTCATTTTTACCTAAGCAAAAAGATACTCTGCTAGTGCCTTGGCCTCTGGATTAAACTGCAACACCCACCTTTTTCCCTTCGAGTGTTTCAAAAGTTAAGTAGAATGTTGTTATAGTTTAGAAGGCAAAAGGGCGGTTTTTATTTAAAGAAGAATGTTCTGTTTTATTAGTTATTTAAAATGTTATACTGGGCTGTTTTTTTTTTTTGTCATTTGCTTGTTTGTTGCCGTTTTATGCTGAGTGTTAGTATTTTGTTTTTGCTTTATGCTCAGTTTTCCTTTGTTAAAAAAAAAAATCTTTTATGTCCAGTTTTATTTACTAAAACTGGACATATCATTATAATTATCATCATTATTATAATTGTCGTCATTATCACTTACATTATTATCCTTGGTATTGTCATTATTGTTACCATTATTATTATCATTGTGATTATTAGTTATTATTGTTGTTGTTCTGATTATCATCATTATCATTATCATCATCATTATTATTATCATTACTATCTTCGTTATTATCATTGTTATTCACATTATTATTCTCTGTGTTATAATTTTCTCTTGATATTCTTTTTTATTTTTTTATTACTTGCATTCTCATTATTATTCCTTTTGCTAATATCATTGTTCTTCTTATTATGATGACGATGATTACTATTATTTCTATCATCGTTATTATAATTGTTTTAATTTCCATTATTATTATTATCATTATTACTATCATTTTCATCATCATTATCATTATTCTTATCGTTATGGCTATCACCATCATCATTATTATTATTACTATTATTATTGTTGTTTCCATCATTATAATTTTTATCATTATGATAATTTTGATTTTTTTTTATTATCATGATTATTTCAGTCGTGATTATTTTCTTAATGATTATTACTCGTTAATATGATTATGGTTGTTAATTTAATCATGATTATTATCCTTATGATCGCTATTGTCATTATTATCATTATATTATATATATTATTATCGCTATGGTTACTATTATCATCCTTCTTATTCCCATTATCGTTATCATTATCATTATTACTATCATTTTCATCATCATTATCATTATTATTATTATCATTATTATTATTATCATTATTATTATTATCATTATCATTATTATCATTATTATTATTATCATTATTATTATTATTATTATTAATATTATTATTATTATTATTATTTTTTTTTAAGATTCGCGAAGCAGAGCCTCGCCCGGGCTATGCCTATTTGGGGAGCCCGGTACTTTCTTCTTCTTCTTATTATTATTATTATGTCTACTACGACTGCTGTTTCTCCTGCTGCAGTTACTAATACTACTATTATGATTATTATTATCGTCATTATGATCATAGAAGTAGTAGGCTAGTAGTGATATTATCACTGCATTTTCTTGTTATCACCATTGTTATTTTCATTATTATTGTCATTATTATTATTATTAGTAGTAGTAATAGTAGTAGTGGTAATAGTAGTAGTAGTAATAGTAGTAGTGGTAATAGTAGTAGTAGTAGTAGAAGTAGTAGTGTAGTGTCTCATTTTGCCTTAGTCAACCTAAAATATATTAGTATATTAACGCCCTCTGGATTCATGTGCCGTCTCTCGCAAGGATCGCGAAGCCAGGGTGACCACGTGTGTGTTTGTTTGTTTAGTATGTATTACTTTGTAATTTATTTGTTTAATTTTGGTTTTAACTTTAAGTGGTTCAGTAAGACAGACACGTTTTAACACTTATAATAATTCATTTTTACCTAAGCAAAAAGATACTCTGCTAGTGCCTTGGCCTCTGGATTAAACTGCAACACCCACCTTTTTCCTTCGAGTGTTTCAAAAGTTAAGTAGAATGTTGTTATAGTTTAGAAGGCAAAAGGGCGGTTTTTATTTAAAGAAGAATGTTCTGTTTTATTAGTTATTTAAAATGTTATACCAGGCTGTTTTTTTTTGTCATTTGCTTGTTTGTTGCCGTTTTATGCTGAGTGTTAGTATTTTGTTTTTGCTTTATGCTCAGTTTTCCTTTGCTAAAAAAAAAAAAAAAAATCTTTTATGTCCAGTTTTATTTACTAAAACTGGACATATCATTATCATTATCATCATTATTATAATTGTCGTCATTATCACTTACATTATTATCCTTAGTATTGTCATTATTGTTACCATTATTATTATCATTGTTATTATTAGTTATTATTGTTGTTGTTCTAATTATCATCATTATCATTATTATCATCATTATTATTATCATTACTATCTTCGTTATTATCATTGTTATTCACATTATTATTCTCTGTGTTATAATTTTCTCTTGATATTCTTTTTTATTTTTTTATTACTTGCATTCTCATTATTATTCCTTTTGCTAATATCATTGTTCTTCTTATTATGATGACGATGATTACTATTATTTCTATCATCGTTATAATTGTTTTAATTTCCATTATT